TTTCCATACCGAAGCATTGGGGCTGGAGGCTGCCCTGGACTCCACCCTGTATTGCACATGGTAACCCTGAAGCCAGCACACTCCAGGCATGCTTGGACTCCTGAATCTAGCAAATCCCACCATAAATCAGGCCAAATCTTCTTCCTCGACATGAAAATGAAGGCAAGTGAGCTTCATCTGCAGAGTGTTTGGTTAGGATGGGGTGAAGAACCTGCTGTGAGTGGCTGAAGGAGCTGCCGTGCGCTCAGTTCGATGCCACCGCAGAGGTCCCCATGGTTGTGTGTCCTTGGTGAGCCTTGTGCTGGGGCCAGCGCTCACCCCACGCTGCAGTGAAGATGTAAAAGCAAACATTGCAACTGGCAGTGGAGGGAAACCATGAGCAGCAGCGTGGGCAGCCGGGAGGGGAACTGTGAGGGATCTTTCCCAATGGTAATCAAGGAAATTGCCACACACACGCACGACTGGGAAGCTGGAAAGAAACTGTGATTCCCTCTAGCAGCGCACACACGAGAAAGGGTCACTGCTCGTAATCAGTGATTCAATTTCTGGGAGACTTAATTTGCTTCAGATGGCTTCTGCAGAGCATGCAAAACAGGAAAGCTCCACGCGATGCGATGGCGTTTTCTCACACAACCCTCCAGATGGTTTTAGACCTCTGTGACTTGCCGGGAAGGTCAGCTGGAGCATCCTGGCTAGTTGGTTACTACTAACCTCAGCTGGGGCTTCGTCTTACTTACATTATCTGCACTGTTTTCATCAGTCAAATGTGTTGATTGCATGGTCCTGTGATCAGATTTGGGGTATAGAGAAGGGAGCACTAAGCCAGCTTCTGATGTTGCATCTTTTTAAGGGAAGAGGGCCTACAAAGATGCTGGAGAGGGACTCTTCATCAGGAACTGTAGTGATAGGGCAAGGGAGAATGGGTTTAAATTTGAACAGAGAGAGTTTGGGTTAGATATAAGAAAGAAGCTCTTCCCTGTGAGGGTGCTGCGGCACTGGCACAGGGTGCCCAGAGAAGCTGTGGCTGCCCCATCCCTGGCAGTGTTCAAGGGCAGGTTGGACACAGGGGCTTGGAGCAACCTGCTCTAGTGGAAGGTGTCCCTGCCCGGGGCAGGGGTTGGAGCTGGATGATCTTAAGGTCCTTTCCAACTCAAACCAGTCTGGGATTCTACGATTCTATGAAGACCGCCTTGGGCTGGGGTGGCCATCCCTTCCTACGTACATGCTATTGCATCCACATGTATTTTCAGTTCCCGTCTGCACAGGGAGTTATCGGTGCTGATTTCCTTTGGGAAAGGCCCTGAGATTATTATTAATTATGAAAATAAGAGCACATGTCCCCATGTTGCTGATGGGCACGATCCTAATTGCCAAGCTGAGGGCCACGCAGGAGCTCTCTGAAGCAGCAACACTTCTGTTTGCTCAGTGGCAGAGCAGTTGGTATTTTCTCATTGCTTGCGTGCAATCTGTTTGTTTTACCCTTTGCTGTCACATCGATTCAACGCAGGGATCGTTACAGAGCTTTGCACATGATATCAGACATTGATCTGGACAGAGGCAGCAACCTGCTTTCTCTCGCTGCAGGCAAATGGCAATGCAGTTCAGAGCAAGCAGTGTCAGTCCTGAGCATCCTCACATCAAGGGAAGCTCAGGAAAAATCCCAAATACCCCCTGGGAGCAGTGAAGACATCATGGTTTCCATGTGCACCATCAGCAGGCTGAACTGTGATGGTTTTTAAAGGGTGAAATGTTATTAAGTAAATGGCATCCTGGCCTGTCCCAGCCCCAGTGCGGCAGCAGGGCCAGGGCAGGGACTGTCCCCCTGTGCTGGGCACTGGGGAGGCTGCACCTCGAATCCTGTGTCAGTTCTGGGCCCCTCACTGCAAGAGAGACATTGAGGTGCTGGAGGGGGCCAGAGAAGGGCACCGGAGCTGGTGCAGGGCCTGGAGCACAAGTGTGATGAGGAAGGGCTGAGGGACCGGGGGGTTTAGTGTGGAGAAGAGAAGGCTCAGGCGGGACCTTATCGCTCTCTGCAACTGCCTGACAGGAGGATGGAGCCGGGAGGGGGCTGGTCTCTGCTCCCAAGGAACAAGGGACGGGACAAGAGGAACCGGACCCAAGG